TTTCAATCGGGTCACCGAGTTTTGAATCGCCAAGATCAGGCGCCCCGAAGTGAGGTGCATGTGAAAAGGCTGGAGAGTGGCGAATCGCGCTTCATCTCTTCAGCTTGTTGCCAAAACCCAGCGCCCCTCAGAACTGACAGAGACCACTTTTGTTGTGTTGGCTATTCGGGCTATTCCATGCAGAGGTCCACATGGAACCCCCAAACCACCGGAAAATTGGACAATGGGTCTTCAGTCAATTCTCAGGGTCCATTTAGTCTGCGGGCGTGTAGATGTTGTTCGCAAATTCTCCAAAATGTCCGAAATCAAGTTTCCCAACTCAGACACTTCACCTTGGTCCTCTCTTTGCAAATTCTCCCCGAGGTCATCAGCTACAATGCCCTGCTGAGCGCCACGGCCACGGCCACCCAGACCACGTGGTGCCTGGCCTTGGCTCTGCTGAACGAGGCCGTTCAGCAGCGCTTGGCAGACGTGATCACATTCAACGCAGAGCCTCGGTCACAGATGCGTGCAGTCACCTCGGTCGTAGAAAAATACTCGACCGATTCCGTGGCCAAATGCGCAGCTGGCAGGTTTTGGGTGAGCACGCAGGACCAGTAAAGCACTGTTTCATTGGCGTGGTGTGTGTGTGTGTGTGTGTTCGTGGCCAGGCGTTTTTGGGTATGTTTCCCCCCCCCCCCCACATCGGAAGCCAGGCGATCAGTGCCTGCGGGCGGTCCGAGAGGTGGGAAGAAGCTCTGGAGCTCCTACGCCACTTGGACGAGTCCGAGTCCAAGCGAAGGAAGCGGCGGCCCTCGGGGGTGGGTGGACGGACTTCCGAGGCATACAAAGAGCCAAAATGACTTGTTTGGAGCAGCAGACCCTTTACCATGTATAACATTGTAGAACCATATGACAGTACCTGTGATGACCCGGTGTCTGAAGCGTTCTGTTAGAAAGAGTCCTTCAGCCATAGAGGAGCGGTCGATTGAAACTCGTTGAGGGTTCCTTGAGATTGATGGTGTAGCTAGGTTGGGAAGATGTTCCTTGGTCATCCTTGGTCGACAGATTCATGTTTCCCTATTGTTGGGAGTAAGTGGACAGTAGAACCCTCCATGCTTCGTTTGAGATATAGAGGTACTGTGCTTGAGTTCCAACTGAGTCCTGCACAAAACGCATGTTCAGACGAGATGTCTCCTCCGGCACTGCGCAAATGTCGTGTTCGTTTGTTCCGGAGCTCTCAACATAGACGTGATTTCTCACGGATGGACAGATGTTAAACTGTTAAACATGCTGCTAGACGAATGTAACTTGGAGCTAGTCAACTCATATGCCTTGTAGCGGCTGTCTTCTTCCCTCCTTCCCTTCACCTTCTTCTTGGTTTCCTTCGTTCGATGTCCAGAGGTGAAACTCATCGGCTGCGTCTTGGAAGAAACGTCATCACCTTCAGCGCAGCAGTCGCTTGGAATATTTGGAGAATGTGTGGAGCAAAGTGTATATCTACAAATGACCACAATGTGTGTGTGTGTACGCATATACAATTAAGAAAACGTGTATACTATACATATATGTGTTGGTGGAGGGTGTGACAAAATATTTTATATATACATACTAGTTAATAACATGTTATTACATACAAGTGTTCTTGGTATTGCATGGTCTCCAAAGCAAGCCCAAGGTCACTGCCTGTGAGAAGTCTCAAAGATGGCAGTCGGGACTCCTTCTCTTGGCCGACGCAAGTGCACAGCTTGGGCACGCGCAGATCGACCTGGTGATCTACAATGCAGCCATCAGCGCCTGTGAAAAGGCAGGAGAATGGCAACAGGCAATCCAAGTCCTGGCGAAGCTTCACCAAGAACAAGTTCAAAGCAGTACTGTAACTTGCTCAAGTACGAGTGGTGCAACAGATGGATACCGTATGGTGAACGACAGATTCACAGGAACTTGATGTTTTTTGAAAAAAAAAACAAAGAAACCGACATGTATTTGAAAATATATCTTCGGGCCAGGGGTCTTGGGGGTTGGAAGAAGGATTCTGGCGACGAAATTGCAAATATGATCCCCCGTGATTGTGGGCTTATAGAATGCAGATCCTTTTCCTTTACAAAATGCAAATTCCAAGACACATTTTATAAACATTAGGGTTTGTTTTTTTTCCAGGATAACTACATAAGATCTGGAGTATCGTCATTTTATAAACTTTACTAACTTGGACACTGAATGACAGTAATAGAGGGCAGGTGAACACCGTAATCTCATTTTATAAACATTCACTTGTCGAGTTGTCAGAGGATGGTCAGAACATGATTTCTCATTTTATAAAGATCATGTTCTGGACTGTCTGAAAAGGTATTGATTTTTCATATGTTTCTAAAAAACCTAACTGTTCAGAAATGGCCTCAAAACTCTTCAAACATCAAGGGAAGACAGGAACTGAAGGAATATGACCAGGAAAATAACTAAGAATCAAAAATTAACTACCTACTTGTGCTGCACTTTTTCTCCTCTCCCCCTGTCTTTGTGTCTCTTTAAGAGCGAGTTTCCCTTCGAAGGCCGGGAACCGGATTTGGCTTCTTACGGGCATTTCCGATGAGCAATTCGCATTTTATAAAGTGCTTCTTCCTGGATGTCGATTTCTATCTTAACCTATCACAACCTGTGCTGGTCATTTTATAAACTAGTTGGTTTTTCATTTTATAAACAAAAAATCCTATCCCACACATTTTATAAACCCACAAAGTTTATAAAATGCAAAATCAGCGCGCCTATGAACAATCACGAGGGATCAAATATGTATGATTACATTTGGGTATCGAAGTAGAAGTATAGAGGATTCATTACAGTATATATATATATTATATATATATATCGTTACATATTGATTTGCCTCGCAAGAACCCGAAACTACGAGTCAAGTTATGGGATGTGTTTTTGTTGATGTTTGTTGCACCATGAATAGACGTATAGAGACATGTTGACACTTTCCGGAGCGAAAGAAGGCTGCCTGGATCATGGTTTGACATGCCCAGATTGGGTGGGCCTAACCCAGACTTTTGACCAGGGCTAGATGACGCTCCAAATGCCGGTGAGGTCACCTATGGTGCCCTAATCAGCAGCTGCGGCACAGCTAGCGAGTGGAGCTGGGCGCTGAAGCTCCTGGAGGAGATCGGATAGATTTGGGTTTGAAAAGTGATGGTGCAGTGTGTTCATATAATACCTTCGGTGTATGCTCGGTGTGTTGCGCAGGATGTTTTCCTTCAGCAGGGTGAGGATCACTACTGACTGCGGTAGATGACAAAGAAACGTCATCCCACCAAGAATGCACAGGTAGACCATGACGCTATTAGGTTGGAGGCCATTGCTATTAAGTGATTTGTTGCGCTGCAGTCATAACCTGCAAAAAGCCGCAGGAGATGGATGCCCAATGCCTAAAGGCAGATGCTTGACCGGTGGATGGGGTAACCGAAGGTGGGCGGCCGTGAATTCTGAGCTACCATGGATATTGAGTCTGTATTGGTTGAGGAATCTTTGGATCTAGGACAACTTGGACTTGCAACTTTCAACTCCACTTGGACTTGCATCTTCATGGCTCAAAAAGACCTAGGCGTGGAGTCGGTGGAATCGATTCCCCTGTTTTCGTGGGCGTTCGATGTTTCAAAGAGTTCATAGCCGTTCCAATCGGTTTTTTGATTATCATTAATGTGCTGTAGATTCTTGATCTACAAACCTCCCAATTGGATTGTAAAGCCTTTTCGTATGGGCCTTTTTTACTCAAGAGATTGAATTGCTACCAGACCTGTTCGACCGGGCCTCCGTGATTGTTCTCCAAGGACGTGGTCACCCACAATGCTGCCATGAGTGCCTGCGGCTTCGCACACTGGATGAAAGTGTTGTGGCTCCTGGAGGATCTAATGCTGCGGCAAGTGCCGGCCACCATCATCTCCTACAGCACGGCCATCACCGCCTGTGAGCAAGCGAAGGAGGCTCAAAGAGCTTTGAATCTTCTGGAACGTCTAAAAATCCAGTCCTACCAGCCGACCTTGATCCCAGGTGAAGAGTTAGGTATGTTTACCAGAGGTTTTGGTTGCAATCTGAAAGACCACAAGAGAAAGGGGGTGACTAGCAGGTGGTTTGTCCCAAATCACCAGGGCGTTAACCGAGGCGTGCCTGTAGTGTGAGACTAACCATGGAGCCTCCTGGTGTCCACTGGAAAGAAACCAGATATTAAAAGTTTTGGTCTTGGCTTTCCATGTTTTGGAGCGGTTGCGGCACAGCAAGGATCACCTTCAATAGTGTTTTGGCTGCAGCCACACAGCTGGGGCGCTGGGAAGAAGTGATGCCCCTTCTTGAGGAAGTCGATGCTTGGCAGGGCAAAGCGGCTTAGATAGGGATGGGTTTTTACCTTCATCGCTGGAATTTGAGGGTGTGCATTCAGTGTAAGTGATGTCAAGAATGCTGGTTAGTACGGCTGCGCTTTGTTGGCAGCGTTGCTAAGAACTGCCCTCCATTTCGCCATCCGGAGCCCAAAAGCATTCGATGAGAGTGTTTGCAGACCTACCTGCCCAGCTGCGGGCCCCGCCTGTTGGTTTCTACCACACCCAGGGGCGCAGGAAAAACAAAAACAAAAAACAGATTGTCCCTCCTGAGGCATCACTCCGCCTGAGCGGTACCGTTGCAACCTTTGCATCTGCACTTGGCAGTTCGGCCAGTTCTACGCCAGAACTACTGAAGCGTATCGATGCAGCAGCACAAGAGGGGCTGAAGACGGAAAAGGTCTCAGAAATGGCAGAGTTGGTGGAAAGTGGCGCCAAAATCATCCAATCAAAACCATCCAACTCTCACCCCAACCAAATTATATTTGTGCAGACCCCTTCATGGCATGAGCTGACCAAGCAACCATTGGCACAAAGATATGAAATTTAATCACACTTCATACGGCGATCCATGTTTCAGAGCTGATTCACCCGCCGTTCACGGAACCTCCCGCCTGTGTTGGTGGCGAACACGATGCGTCCGGCCAGGGTCCCTCCTTGCTGGTGAACGGGCGGCCCACGGTCTTGGGCACTCCACAGCTGGCCTGGGTTCCAGCAGTGTCTCGGAGCGACGGGGGCGGGGGGGGCACTGGGTCATGACCCGCGAAAGGTGGGTTTCAGTTGGGACAAGGGGGTTCCCCTGCCTTGTCGTAGCTTGAAGTTATTGGGACGCTTCCGGGCCAAGCCTGAGCACTGGACCTGGAAAGAGTGGCTGCAGATAGATGGAAAGGTGAGGATTATGGGAATGGGTCAGATCAAAACCCGGAGCCCCAACACCATGTAGCTTGGCCTCTCAGAACCAAGCACAGTAAATTCCTTTCATATTCGTTCGTCAATGAGATGTAATCGTATTTCCTTAAATCTTGTCCTGTCTTGCACTTGGGTGTCCTGGTTTCTGGTACAGATTTACCTGCTGGATCCGCGACATTTCCATTTTGGACAAGAAACTTCCAATGGACCCTTCAGGGACTGGGACTGTCATGTTTGTGTAGGATGACAAGAGGTTCCCGAATGATGCTCCGTTCCAATTTGCGGTTACCTCTAGAAAAGGCGTCAACAAAAGACAGTGCCAAATCCTACTTGTCCAACAAATGGACGCCCACCAAAACAAACAGTTTGAAAAAGATGCCTTCCCCTGCAGTAGGGCCAAACTAGTTGCAGTGAAACCGTCAGTTTCGGGGACGTTCAGGGACTGCTTCGTTTGTCCCACTGTTTCGGTTGCAGAACTGGTCGTCGAGTGGTTCTTTGCGCTTGGCTTGAGGCTGATGCGCTTCTCTTGCATTCGCCTCTGGAGCGGGAGTAGATGAGACGACCAGTTGGGCCACTGATCACCAGTTAGGAGGTGACCAAGCCAAGTGTTGGACAGAAACGATTGGGGCTCGTGTGGGGGAGTCAGGTTGAAAGTTGGGCAATCAGATTGAACATCTTGATCCTTTACTACAAAGTCTCAATGAGTCTCCCAACAACTAAAAGCCTCCTCTATGAAAAGGCTGAAGCCTTGCAACTTTGCTCGTTATCCTCCTTTCCGCAGCAGGACGGTATGGCTCCCCAGTTGCTGCTACAACGCCCCGCCGACCCTGCGGGCGCCATCGCCAGGGCATTGCAGGCGCCTGCGCTGCAGCCGCGCGGGGCGGCCGCCGCTCGGCTGCGGCCAGCGCCTCAGGAAGGCCAGCGTCCGAAACACTGTGAGTGCGGGATTGCAGTTCAGCTGAGTGGGTTTTTGGGGGATGTGTTTATGACTTTAAGATTCGTTCATAACTATATATTAGCCTAAGTGTATGTTGAGCCAAAGTGACCATCACGGGGTTCTGCACAACTGCCTGTCATTGTGCTTGACCCATAGTGCTGGGAGCCGCACCCAACGTGCAGTCATTGATAGGAACTTACAGTCCCTTTGTCACTGTGGCATGTGAATCACCATCCCAACCGATTGTGGTAGGAACAGGAGAGGTGCACATCCAACGAGTATCAGGGTAGGCAGGTTGATTGCTTTTTTAGGAGATGAATGCGCACGACACAAATTAAGAACCATATGTAATCTCTGCAAAAACCCACGTGCGACAACCAGACATCGCCTCTTTCTCGCTAGGCCTTGTCCTGGTACCGCATGGCTGGGAGCCCATCACCCACAGTCCCGAGACCTATGAAGCCTTGGGCCCAGCACGAGGCGAAATCTTGGTCTGAAACCGTGGGATCATAGGAACAAGAAGCTACTAGGGACTCCTGGCATTGCTACTAGGAGCAAGGACGCTACTAGGGGCTCCTGGCCTTCAAGAAGCTACTAGGAACCCGTTTAATTGACAGCCAGGCAAATCAATATGGGACGCGCGTGGACACCAAAAGGGTTCCAGGCTGGCCACAAGATTTGGTGGCACCATTGGTGGCACCATTGAGGTGTGGACCCCACACCTCTCGGTGTGGACCGAGGTGGCAGATCCAGAAGCAAAGACTCCACAGGTTCATCCATGTTGATCCTTCTACTTCGTGAGCCAGAAGCATATCCGATTGGCTCATACTGTAGGTGGAGTTCGGCGGATTCGTCAAGAGGGGATGCGATCCTGCTGTCTTCGAGATTTCGTTAATCTCTTTAGGGAAGCTCTGAGACTATCTCCCTAGTAGCCCCGCCAAAAAAGCAAGTAAATAGATGGTAGATATGAAAAAGTTCACTTTCACTTTGCGCACAGATCCTATGAAGCGCCTGGCATTGAATTCGTTAATTAAAGGCAAAGGCCCACAAGAAGTCAGCAGCGATTTGCAAAAAACGATCAGGCTTGTTTGAGCTTGCAGCAAATTTATCCAGGCTAGAGAAAACTGCAACAAAACTCCATTGACACCGAAATCAGCAAAAGCAGAGACGGGCCCTTACTGACCTACGCCAAGACGGATTGATAAGCCATCATGGTTCTACAAATCAGTTGTGGTCTATACATGCATGCCACGGTATTCCTGTGGGCGCACAGGAAATCACATGGCACCTGCTGGCAGGTGCGCCCTGTACATCAGCACAGCTCTGCTTACTCCTTGTTGAAACTTCATATAATCGCCGAAGTTTTGCTGGGGCTTTGGAAAGCAACCTACATTCGTGCATTCTTTGCTCATTCGCTTCTGCCTGCCCTGCATGTACTTCAGGCAGTCGCCGAAAGTTTTGCTGGGCTTTGGGAAGCAACCTACCTTCATGCTTTCTTTGCGCATTCCTTTCTGCCTGCCCTGCATGTACTTCAGGTAGTCGCCGAAGTTTTGCTGGGGCTTTGGACAGCCAGCTACCTTCGTGCTTTCTTTGCTCATGACAGGCATTTCTGCCTGCCCTCCATGTACTTCAAGTAGTCGCCGAAGTTCTGCTGGGGCTTTTGGAAAGCAGCCTGCCTTGTGTTTTTACATGTCTTTACTGCACACTGCCTCTCTGAACCGTCATTTCCCTGCGGATACCTGTCTTAGTCCCCAAACCTTTTGATTAAGAGCATTTGTGGAGTCGGGGTCAATGTACAATAGGTGAAGGGACACCGTCAAAAGCCAGCGCTTACTCTTAGTCAGCAAGACTGCGAAAAAGAAACAGCAAGCACGGAGCAATCCCGATGGCAAAGGGCGTGGTAACGCACGCTACTGGGTCGCATCTTACTGACGAGCAAATCTTGAGCCCTAGATATGAAAACGTATGGAAAAGTGAGAGGTGTCCGAAGGTGTCCCATCCTTCGGGAGTGTCATGTATACAATTTGGGGCTACTTCGGAAAACAGTGGCCGATCTTTAGACCCTGTCATCGATTGCCGCGGTTTTTGCCGGCTTCGCCTTGAAACGCTACAAAACACAAAGTGCCGGGCCCTCTTCGGAGTGGAGGTTCAGGCAAACTACCTAGTCTTTGCAATCAGCAAGCTTCGAAATATGTTGTAAGCTTGGATTATTCTGCATGTGTTTTTTCCCCTGGAGACTGTGTGTGGGTGAGCGTGTGTGTGTGTGTGCCCCTGTGGATGTGCAGGAGGTTCCGAGCCTCCCTTTGCGGCCAGAAGTTCATTGCTCTTTTTCCAGCTGAGTTTGTGGCGTGTCGTTCAGCTGGACGTGCTCCGAAGCTTGGCAGGGGCGATGTCGTGACCGGATATTCACTCGTGGCTGGGGTATGGTACTTCATGGTATGTTTGACTCCTGTTGACCGTTAGTCCTATGTAGTGGATGGGATTCAAGGAGTAGACCTGTATTGTCCATGGCAGTTGGTTGTTATTTCTATGTTCACCCTTGATTCTCTTTTTTGCCCGAGTCGTGCTGGAAGGCTTGCCTCCTTCAAGTAACACGTTCTAGTTGGCGTGGTTGAGTCTTAGAATGTGGAAACACCCCAAGTCACGACTGAAAACATAGAGAAGCACTTCAATGGGCTGCTGATCCAGAGCCAATTGAATTTGAATTGACAGATTACCGTTTGGTGCCAAGTTCTGGGTGCCTTCTTTTCAGGAGAGAAGACTCGGGAAGTCTACCTGGAGCATTTTCTTCCGGCTGCTTTGAGGGACCAATGGCAGAACACCTCCCAAATGGCGCTTTGGCATCAATGTCTTAGATCAAAGGACCGAGAATGTTCCTGTTGTTTTTTTCACTGGCAAAAATACTAATGAGCTTAGACTTTGGGTTTGCTTTTTCTGGGTTCATGTTGCAATTTGTTTCAAAGTGGGCCTATTCTATTGGAACCCACAAGAACCCAACTTAGCTCTATTGGCGCTTGAAGGCGAAAGTCCAGTTTGGGGATCCTGTAATCCTCTCTTTTGTGGGGAGCGATCGGTCTGCCCAAGTATTTGATCGTCATTTGATCTTGGACTTTGCTGTGAACAGCAAGTTTTGTCCGAGCGCTGTAGGGGTGCCGGGTGCTATGCCTACAGACCATGGAGATCGCGGTTGTCTCCAAAATCCAAAGTTTGCTACCGAAAACTTGCTCAGCAGGAACTGCCTTTTTGGTTTTCAACTGGATGCTTTTCTTCGGTGAGGTGGTGGGGAGGCGTTTCTTCGTCCCAGGTGGCTGTCTCTGCAATGGCCACCACAACACAGGGCATCGAGATGCTTTTGGCACTGCCAGGCACGTTCCCACCCAGGGGTGGGCCATATATCCGGGCCGGGCAGTTGGCAGGGAGTGTGTCGTTTTGGGGGGTTGGAAACGAGTCGCAGGTGTTTTTGGGGTGGTAATGATCACCTTGGTGATGGGCAGCCTTCTCACATCTGAGGCAATGCTGGTACTGCCCAAAGCTTTCTGAGTGTTTACTTTCCAGCTGGTCTGGATGAAAAGGCGCCCTGTCAGCATGGCCGCGGGGGAGGACGCTGCGCTGGAACTTCCACGTGTGCTTTTTGTGACTCCGAGAGCGAGCTGGAGAAGGTGATGACAACAGAGAAGACATCAAAACAAGCTACTAGTAGCAAAGGGCATCGCTACTAGGAGCAAGGACGCTACTAGGGGCTCCTGGCATCGCTAATAGGAACAAGAAGGCTAGTAGAGACATCCTCATTAGATGCTTACTTGACATGCAACCAATACTTTGGCTACGGCTCCTTATACCGAAACCTTCCCCCTGCTACGAGCTTCCCCTGCTACGAGGGCAGTTGATCAAAAGCAGCACAAAACAAAACACAAAGTGCCAGAACTGAGCACATGCCCGAACGTCGTACCCAAAGAATAGCCTGAACGTATCCTTTTGCGCGCAAGAAAGTGGTCTCCATGCCTTGCAGAATTCACCTATAGGCAATATTAGAACATATTATGTGTATATATATATAGGTATGTGTGTGTGTCTTGAAAAAAAGCACGACTCTTCCACTTCCCCCTTCGACCAACCCACGTCCGCACAAGGCCCGCCCACGTGCACGTCTGGTGGAGTCGCAAGCGCGGCAGTCTTCAGCAGGTGCAGTCCTCGATGGAAGGGATTGTGGGGTCCCTGACTTCCTGGAGAAAGTCCTTCCCAAGTTCCCATATTCCTCCAAAAGAGGTCGTGCAATGTTCGGGTGTTGTCTACCTGAGCGAAGACCAAACCTCTTCAAAATCAAGAATGCTTGATAGCAGGTATAGAAGGCAAGTTCACCTTGGGTGTGTGACCCGCTGCGTCGCAATGCATTTCCAGCACAGGATCTGTGGGTCCATTTGAATCCGTACTTGTGGGTCCGTAGAACGGCATGTTCCCTGAATCGACTTTCGGAAACAACTGTGTGTGTTGGAAGGTCCCGATTCTATCCGATTCCTTTGTTCATCCACTCTTGTCGTCGCCAGTGTCGCGCCAGGTGCGGTGCTTCCCATGGGACTTCCAGGAGGGCCCACCGCAGGTGCGAGGAGCGATGCGGCGGTTTGGCAGTTTGGGTTTGGTGCTTGCAGAGGTATGTTGGTCAAAAATGGGGGGGTCATCTAAACCCACTGGTGAAAGGAACAGAAGACTATATAGAACCTCTAGCTCCGTAGATCTCATTTTGTCAGCTACTTTCATGTTGCAAAGGCAAATTCACTCCAACTGGCAAACGACCTGCTATTGCTGAGACAGTCAGGTTCAAAGAAATACCGCAATGGGCTTGCGAAGAGAATCCAATTCCACCAAGGTTGATGTTATGGATCTGAGAACAGACGACTTGTTCCGATGCGTTTTCTCAGGTGTCATCGCTGTGCCCTTTGGCAGCGAAGGGTCGATGGCCTTCGCAGGGGACGAGGCGGATGGCTGGGTCTATGGCCTTCGCTTCACTATCCTTCACTTGAAAACCCAACTGGATGTTTGGGATTTGGGGACCGGAAAGTGCTGTTTCACTCCAATCCTCCGGCTTACTGTGTTTCCCTTTGGTCAAGAACATGTGCAAAAAAGTGTGTGTGTGTGTGTGTGTGAGTGTGCGCGGTCTCAGATTGTATTTTCTGCGTACGTTGGAAGGGATAGACAGGGTATGTTTGTTGCATCTTAAATACTTCTTGCACGTTCCCAGCAATGTAGAAGCAGAACATGGTAGAACATGACCTTCTCAAATGCCCATGTCCTGTAGATGAGTTCGCATTCGTGTATGTCTTGTTTCAATGGTTTGAGATGTTTTGAGTGTCTCGGTAAGAGTCCATACTTTTTATAAGTGCTTTTCCATGTTGGTTTCACTCGTCTTTGGATGTGACTTGATGTCGAGATGAACAATCTTGCCAAAGCACTAAAGCTTTATGATCCTGCCAACCTAAGCCTCCTTCACATCTTTCCCAGAAAAGCCATGCAAACCAGGTGTCTAGCCGATCGGTGGCGCACTTGCTTGAGGGCCAAGCACAGGAGGATGGCTCGAAGGTGGGGTCGGTTACTGGTCAGATCCGGCCAAGCCACGTCGGTTGCTGACAGACGTGCCCAGCCAGTGCGTGGTCTCGGGGGGTCGGATCGTCCGAGGCGCTGTGGGCCTTCCTCCCTCAGCCCAGGCCCGAAGTGGGAGGGAAGATGTTGAAGAAACATGAAGAAACACGGTAGCAACTGGTCACTGGGCACACTGGTCAGATTTTGAAAGACCTGCCAACTTGGAGAGCCTGTCGCCTCTGGTGAAGCTGCTTGTGGCCAGATCCAGAACTAGACTGTTCTTCCAGCCACACACCGTGCACGAGCCGAACGGTGTTGCAAAATCAGTCTTGCGGTGGTCTGGCAGAGACCTTGGGGCCAAGAGACCACCTCTTTTCCAGCTGCTCGACCCAGACGGGTCGACGAAGCCGCGACGGGGAGACCCAGCTTTCTCGTCGACCCATGTGTCGATCACTCAGCGAAAGGTTTGGGTGAACCCACGGTGGCTCCTGGGCGAACCGATACCACCAGTGGAAGCGTTTTGGTGAGGCCCAGCGCTGGTGGCACCAGCTCATGGCCAGGGGAGGAGGAGCTGACCAAAGTGCCAGAGGAGGAAATCAAGGCCCAATGAGTTTGGACGGTTGGTTGGTGAGGAGTCGGTGAATGGGTTAGTCGGTCGGATGAGTATGTGGTCTCAATGCAGGGAGGACACTGAGGACACAACTGGAAACCGATTGGTGTGTGTGTGTGTGTTGTGAGTTGCTGACGACACCTGGTAGCCCGCGGAAAGGAAGCACTTGTGTGTCGAAATGTGTGTCTAGCAGCAGAAGCTTATTCGGGAAAGCACTGAAAACATCTGAAAACTGTTTTTGTGTTGGGGCTGGATACAGGAACTATTGTAGATATCTAAAGTCAGATGATGCTACTCTGATTGCTTTTGGTCTGCCCAGTGGGTGAATTATATGAATCATGATGAATCTGTCCTCACAATCATCCCAAAAGATGGCTCTTGAACCACAACGATGGTCCAGGGGTATACATTCCATGGATCCAAACAGGCTCACGGACTCGCCGTGCGCTGGTCGTCTGGCGCTCGCTTTAGGCGCTGGTGGCTGGGTCCAAGCAGCCGCTGCCCACAGAGAGGTCTCGATGGCGCAGCAAAGATGTCGAGCCTCGGCAGATCCGAGCCACAGGTTTTAGTCTATATTATATATATATATATAGTAACAATGTTAGTTCGCTAGTAGAAACAAGTGCCACGCTACTAGTAACAGGTGCCTTACTAGTAGTAACAATAATAATCTTATTATATACATATATGTCTAATTATATACAGTGTATGTACAGTGTGTCTATTTTCACCAGTGGGGTTCAATTGTTCCGGTCATTCTCCATAAGCAGATGGGCTGTAATGGAAAAGAATTGCCCAATACGGGGGGTCCTGGTTGATCAATACCCACAGAAGGGACAGAAGGGCATAGACCCCCAGTTGAGGAAGGATTTGAGATCTTTGAAAGAGGTCCAATGAGTTATGATTTTAGAACCCTGAACACATATGGGGGTGATTCAGGGGATTTGAGGACATTGTTTCTCACATCGTTTTACTGTTTTCTTTTGTGGAAGTTGATCCTCCAATGTATGTATATTTAAAAGAATATATGCACATGTGTATGTATATATATACACGTAATTAATTATGTAATATGCATAGATGCTGCACATCTTGATCAAAACCAAAACAAGCTAGGATAATATTCATAGAGTTTCTTGGAAAGTTTCGCCTGTGGGTTCCCAGTGCTTCAAGAATATGAGATCAGTATACTCTTTTGGAAGGGAACCTCTTCAGGGTCCGCAGGTTCAGGGAGGTGGGTCGTCCTCTGATTTTGAGGCTCGGCAACCCATCCAAGGTTTGCCTCGGGGACGAGTTGATTCTGCGGGCAATGACGGATCGCCAAAATGACGACTGGCTGGAGTTCGTCCACCTTCCCTCGAGGACACGGTGTTTGTTTGAAAGACTGTCAGTGAATGCAACCAAGTAATTTGCCTCATCCATAGCGCAACTGGTAGACGTGCCATGTCCACCACTGACATCTTGTGATGATGGGAGCCTCCATGAGGAGCGCTCGACAGCTACCAGCAGCCAGTGAAGGCGGCAAAGCCAGGATCTGATGTGGGGATGGGTCAAAAATGGTCAAAACCTGGAGTCCCGGTCCACCATCTTCCAGCTGGGTCAACGGTCAACCAAGGTCTCTTAATTCTTAATTTTGACTCACAGTCATGTGTTTTTCACTTTTCCTCAACCTATCTCAAACCAACCTTGTACACAGGATCATGGATCACCTACCTGGAAAAGAAACTTCTTTGATAGCACCCAGCGGGTTGCGATGCTGATTCGACCAGTCCGATGGGTTTGCTTTTGGGACAGAAGAAGTCGCCAACGTGTTCAAAGAGAGTAGGAACAGTGGTGTTGAGGTAGAACATGTATGGATTTGCTTCAAAGATTGGACGACTCATATTATGCGTACTACCTTGTGCTTCTCTCAGTGAGGACCTTCCCTCAGTGAGGAAAGAGATGCTATGCATAATTATGGATCTTTGCTTGAAGATCACACATCTTTGGGTGGGCAGGTATGGATGCTGGTCCAGTGGCACGTTTGCTCGCTTGGCCAAAGTCGCAGCTCTTTCAAGGAACGGGAGCAGCAGCGCTGGTCGGCCAGGGTCCTGCAATGAGGATGATGCCTACAGAAGGGTACATGTCCTAATGAGATTCCTGGCCCACAGTTCTTGCACCAATTGTTGATTTCTACCAGGCTCAATTGAGTTGATATACTTGTGAGGTAAATTCAGGGAAAGTATATGCGATCGAGGAAAGGCGGATTCTTCTTAAATGAGGCAAGTCCGAAGAGGCACCTCCTGGGATTGGCCAGGAGATGAAGAGGCACGTGAGATGCTTCGTGGCAGCTGCGTGGTGGTCTTCGAAAGCGGCCATGTGCGATGGATGGAGGTGCGATGGACAGGTCCGAACGACAGTCCGTGGCCTTCCCGTCGACACTAAGCCCCAAGCAGTTTTTGAAACACGTCTTCAATGCGACAATTAGAGACCACTCGTGTCTATATTGTCCATTGAAATCATGAATCCCTTGGAAGATGCCTCCAAAAGCAGGAAGAATTCTTCTGGTGGCTAGATGTTTCACCACACGCACGGCTGGGAGTGGAGGGATTCACATCCTTTGCATCCGGACTTTTGGAATCGAGCAATGACGTGGCTGCTGGAAGCGTCGATGCTTTTTGTTCCGCAAAACGATACTTCAACAAGAAACTCAAATGAGACTCTTTTTGAGAACAACGCCGACTCTGTTGCTACTGCGAGAATCTGCGAGACATTGGAGCAAGGCGCATCAAGCGCTTGAGCAACAATTGATATTTACTGGCTGCCCAGCAAAACAGGTGTGTCCTCAATCATGAGATGGTCCGTCCAGCGGATTTGGCAAAGAAGAGAAAGAAGCTCGGCCGTTTCGACATGTTCAATGGGATTTCCTCCGAGAGCCATTGGCAGGCTCATCCACAGGGTCTTGCTGAGAGCCTTCGAGAGCACTTCCAGCGGCAAGGCTTGCGCGGGCTCATGGAGGCGTGCTTGGCCGCAGCGGGTGGAGAAGACTGAGTGTACCTTCCACGTCCCCCAAGTAATGTCAGCAGTTCGAACAAGTAGAAAAAAACCTGTGCCAAGAACAGAACCAGTATCTAGTCGCATAGAACTCTAGTTGTGTTAGTTCTTCCTTGCATTTTTCTCTCATGTCATAAGGCCACTTTGATAGAATGCAAGAGGGAGGGAGAGAGAGTAAAACGTGGGAGAGTCCATCGGGTTGTTCTCTTGCAAGCTGCAGGCCGCACAACAACTTGATAAACTAGGATTGGTGATGGTTGGTGCGTGGAGGGTTGCACATTTCAGGTCTTCCGACCAAGCCAGTACACTCCGTACGTTCCTAAAGGAGCTGCTTTCATGTTGTGAAGGAAGTCACTGGCAAGCTCAGTACACAGTGTATACTGTATACATTGTTCAGGTCATCCAGCCTTCCGTGCTGGTTCTCCCTCCCAGCTACCACGATCCAAATCCAGAGAGGAGGAGCTGCCAGAAGAAGAGCTTCGAGAGCTGGAGGAACTCGAGTTGGAGCAACTGGAGCTGGACACTGGTTTTTCCAGAGGGGCTGATTGGGTTTGGAACACGTGGAAAAGAATGAGAGTGAGGGTCCTAAAGGTCCTAAACACTGAAGTAATTCACTTTCGGTCAGAGCCCAGATCGAACATGAACATCCATTAGGATTTGAACCGGGGTGCACCAGGGTGCTCACATCCGTCCTTCAGCCGAAGATTGAGAATGGTTTTAGGAACGGGAAGATTCAGGAAGAGGTCGGATTAAAGGAGCTTCATGGGTTTGAGTACGTTTGAGTTGAATAAATCCTGTTGCGTGGTTGTCCGAATGGTTGGCCTCACAGTGACCCTTGTTGGTCTCGGTCATCCAACACCACCGACGGTTGAACCCCGGGAAGTCGATGAACACGTCCTAGTAGTAAGGCCAGGAACCCCTAGTAGCTACTAGGGGCCCCTGGCAGCTTGTTCCTAGCAAGTAGAATGGCTGGCAGTCTACTTTGGTCCCAGCGTATCTCCGTTTAACTCCTTAGTCTCTAGCCCTCAGCATATGTATCATTTGGTCTTGGAGTTGCGCAGGAAGCCGAAGATTTGGATGGGGAAGAGCTGACCGAAGGCAGGCTAAGCGAAGAGCTGGCAAACATGGAGACGTAGAGCATATGTTGTGGTGAGGATGCAAGTCCTTGGCAAGCGGTTGCTTGTTCGGTGACCATTGAGCATCGCTTTTAAACCATAGTTAGATCATCATAGAAAACCAAGCAACTGAGTTTGATCACTTACTGGGCCATTTGTCCATTTGTATTGTTGAGGCACTCCTTCGATGTGTTATGATCATACATAACCAATACACAGGGCCAGAAACACTGCAGGAATCCTCAGGGAACTTGTTTTTGCTTCCTCTACTATATAAAGCAATTCGAAGACACTCCCCAAAGACACTCCCATCCACATCATTCTGTTAGACGGATGCCTATTTCCTACTGCCCCCTGTCCAAAATACACTTGGTACGGTATACCCGGCATGCTCAATTGACGTTTGCTTACTCCCATTAGGTCTCAATTGAACTCAGGTATAGGTCGACCGGATGGTCGAACGAGACTTGTGACGGTCGGTCTAGGGCCTCTAGGGACGGGGTGGAGCTTCCATAGGTCGAGGTTCACGCCGAGGTGAAACCGCGAAGTTCACGTTGTGGCCAAAAAAGGACGACAAAGAGATTCATTCAGGTGTTGTGGTGTTGCTATGCGTTATAACCGGATCAGATGTAGCAACCAGTGTCAGAAAGATCTGAATAAATCACAGGTTTGGTTTCGACATTCCCCTTGGGTCCCTGCGAGGTGAAGGGCCGACCGAGGAAGGGTCTGAGATGCCTGGCGCACCTGGAGCCAAGAGAAGGCCCACCCGAGAAAGTCCGAGTGGTGGAGCAGGAAAAATGAGAGGGTGTAAATGCCTTCAGGTTTTAACTAATAGCAATGGCCTCGAACCTAACAACAAAATGTGAGGTGTAAGTGTAAATCATTACTGTAAGTCTGAACAGATCTTCTTTTGAAGGATTGACGATGCCCAGACTCAGATGCTCGGTACCCACAAAGCTCATGGGTGATGTTAACTCAAAGCTCTTATGCGGCTATGCTTTAAGTCTTGCATGCAGGGGCTTTGATACACAATCCGTTTCAACAGACATGGTCTTCGATTTGCTTGAACGTCGCTCCATTGAGTTCCCTCATCGTTTTGCGATGAAGTCTGGACCAGGCAACGAGGCTCCGGCCGTGGTGGACGTGGAATCGCCCGGCCAGGAGCTGGTCGTGGTTCGGGGCACGGTGGGCGCGGTGGCGCTCGTGTAGCGGCACAGGGCAACACTGGTGGAGGTGGTGACTTGGATGCGCATCAGAGTGGCTAAAATCGATCCACTGACAGACACCGATGTCATGTTCGGGAAGAAGGATGTGAATTCCATTGTGAAGCATCTTCTATTTTTGTTGTTTAACTTCTACTTTTTTTGCCCGTCAGTGGCAAGTGGCCGCGTCTCCTTAATTAAGTAGGCGCCTACTTAAGTAAGGGAGAAGTTCGCTCCTAGCAACTAGTTAGCTTCTAGTAACCGGACGCACGGTAGCTCACGCTTCTTCAAGGAAGCTCCCGTGGGTGTCTTCCTCGTGTGTCCTCAGGCTCCGGCCAGGCCGGCCGAGGACGAGCACAGGGCCCACAGGGTGTCCGGGAAGAGCTGCTGCGGCGCGCGCTGCGCCAGCGGCGGCAAGCACAGAAGATGAGGACGTCGGGTGCGAAGATGGGCAGGGTGAGAGAGAACATGGGCAGAAGATGAAGGAGATGGATATGATGGACGTCGGAAGAGTCCAATTGCGGTCGATGGTTGTGTCATAAATCAAAGGAATCCAGTACTAGGTTTGTCGTGGAAATTAAAGTTCACCCATGGTCAGAATGTTCTGCTTGTTTGGGTTTTGAGCCGCGCTGCTTTTGCTTGAGTGCAAAGTATTTATCCAGCTGGAAGCTTGATGGTTCGTCAACAGTGGTTAAGCGTAGGCTTGATGTTTGATGACTTCTTGATTCAGGTTTTTGCAGGTGCAAAAGGTGACTTCGGGAGCCAAAGGCAATTCCTCATGTCCAGGAACTTCAATCGAACAAATTCTCCACCTGCTCGTGGCGCAGGAATCTCTCTGGCGGCGGAAGAGAGGAGTTGTCTTCAGATGGCAAACCACCCAAGGACCGACATGGGAGTCCGGTCGTTCATTTCTGATTGGAAAACCAGGCTATTGAAATGGAAAAGGGCCCACAGGTGGCCAACAGCTTTGAAAAGAGTGTGTGGCAAGGCTTCTAGAGTCTAGAGTCATGTGTCAGTGTTTGGATGCCACGAAGGTATCCCCAAATCTTCACAGGTGATGCCATTCTACCCATCAGGAGTTGTCTAGCCCAAAGCATGGCGATGAGGATAACAAGGAGCACATCGGAGGCAGGGGTTGCAGGCGATAATAAGCGATAGGTGTGAGAGCACAAGGCAAACAGCTGGGAAGCCCTTGTTTGAACAAGCGGAAACTCTTCTTCAGCTTCAAGCAATGTGAAGACCTGTAGAGATTGGAGATCAAGGATCCAATCTTCAGGTGTTCATTGAGGAGTTTTTAGAAAAACCGCTAGTTAGATCTAGTTAGCACAAAAATTAGATGTAGAATGATTCAAAACCTTGTCAACCATTGTAAACCATGATTTCTGATCTTCGACTCAGGCAACCGTTGGGCTGGCGGCACGGGCGGCGCCGATACCGCTGGCCTCGGCGGCCGCGGAGGGCCCTACCGCCTGGGCACCCAACAACTATGTTCTGCAGAAATTCCATTCAATCCTAGGTCACCTGGGAGCGTGAGCCTAGAAGGTCATTCAGAATCTTTTTTTTGAGAAGGATCTGGTGGTGCTTCCGGCCAGGAATTCTCTTGGAGCTCCGGAATTAGAGGAGAATTCAATTGGACATGGCAGCAATCCTATATTGGCTAGCAGTGCAAAGAGAGTAGCAGGTGAGGGATGATTACAGAGCGAAGGTGAACGTCGGAAATTGATGCCTCCAGTGTTTTCCTGGATAACCTTGGGACCAATTGAAACCATAGAGTCATAGAGCAAAGGGACCAGTGAAGCAGCATGCTGTAGTGCAACAGGATTCAAGAGGATTGTGTTTTTACCACCAAGTCGTCACCAGTCACACCAAAAAACATTGGGTGAATTGGTGCAGTGGTTGAAGCTGGGCAAAAGGAAAGGGGTTTGGTACTTTGACTGACCAACATGGAAGTGGAACATGGATGAAAGTGGCTTGTTGGAAGTTGGAAGACGACTTTCCCTGAAGAATAGGAGGCCTTTTCCACTTCCAGTGAGCCGGAGTGAAGACAACGTGTTCTTCCGCCATGTGTAGACTTGCCATGGAAGAAGCTCCGTGCACCCAGGTCTCCGGTGCGGTTTCCGGTCTCGTTTCCTCCGCCGGTGAGGTTTGGAAAAGCCGGGTCAACGCGTGCGGCAAGTGAGTGACGAGGTGGTCAAAAAGCGGTTCGATGGCCAAGAGGTGGTGCTGAGATGTAGAGGTGTTGCTGACTCCAAAAGATTCCAAAAGAATCTTATCCGGTTTGATTGGTATTTGATGGTATTTGTATAGATTGGTCGTCTACCGAAAAATGAAAAGGTGTGGAAACTCCAGTTCCAAGCATGTAAACATGTGTATATAAACTGTAAAACATGAGCAAACATGTCAGTCTCTAAGAACGACAACGATTGAAACCCGATTCCGCCAGCCCGGAGGCGAAGGCGCAGGTGGACGCCGAGGCTCAGGCAGCGGCGCGACACTTGGGGCAGGAGGCCTTGAGGCGACGCTTGGAGGAGACGACTGACCGCGACAACGGGTGATGCGAAGAGACTCAGAAACCAACGCTTGGCCGAAGAAGCTAGTTACTAGTAACAAAGGGCATCGCTAGTAGGAGCGATCGGACGCTACTAGTAGTTCCTGGCCATACTACTAGTAGCAAGAAGCTACTAGTAACAAAGGGCATCGCCGAGGCGTCGGAGGCCATCACAAAAGTTGGTGACAAGATGTGATAAGTCTTGAGGGACTCAGCGTGGTCAAACAGTCTTTTGGGTGATTTTACACCATGAGTACTGGTTGTCCTAGAAGCACATAGCAAAACCACAGAGGTGCAATCTGCGGTGGATGCCCTAAGATCCTGGTGGCACCAGATGATTCTGCGGAAAGACCTCGTTCAGTTGATAATGGAGGGCTATGCTTTGGAGGCGAAATGGCTCCACCTACATGTTTCATTTTGGATTGGAGTTTTCTTTGGATTGAAAGCACATTGTTCTACTGGAAATATAGATATATTATATATATATACCACAGGTTCCATCAGGTTCCTATTTGAGAAGGTCCACACTAGTACTCTAGTACTATAAGGAAGGGCGAGAATCCAAATCAACTATTCTACCGGTTCTACTGGGCCTGACTTCGGATTGGTGCGGATGGTTGTCGTTCGTTTTCGTGTTCTTCATCTCCTTCCTGTCGCTTCTCCGAGCATGGCCTCCAATGCATGGCCTCCGCTGTGACGACTCGCTGACTCCAAAGGAGATCCACCTGAGCGGGGGCGACTACAACTTCTACGCCAGCTTGTTGTCGGCCGTCCAGAGCGACGTGGGGGTGCCCTGTTCGCTGCGTTTTCAAAGAATGCCGATGCCCTGTTGGGCAAAGAATGCCAGTGAGGGTAAATGGCATTCACTCATGCGGGTATGGGAAGCCGGTAGAGCCTGTTTCGAACGAAAGAGCCATTCCTCTTTCGGAGCGAAACAGCCATGTCTCGCCAGTGTCTACTTATAGTTGAGTGAAACTCGGGTGACACGGGGACTGAAGCTTGCCTGCTCCACAGATTCTTTGCATCTATATAATGCTGGATAAGCAGTACATTTGAATAGAAATCCTTAAGGGCAGGCTTGGGCAATTTGATGTGAACCATGCAAACAGGAATCATAGAGGTTGAGGACTTGCATTATGTATGAAGCATGGGGGCAAGGTAAACTTGGATGTTGAGGCTGTGTGAGTGTTGGAGCACACATTCTGTATAAACGCCTTTTGGAGGTATGTAAAGCTGAGGCAATGACACATTTTATAGGAACGCAGCTGTTTTGAACCGCTCTGCCATATCAGGAAGTTCAGGAACATGATTTAATTTCTGGTAGTTTGATAGCTGTTCTTTGCTTGCTAGGGTATGCAAAGATCTGTCGCCGCTTGTGAAGGTGATTGAACATCGAGCTTCATAAACATCATAAACGCTGGAACATGCATTTTGTATAGGGGCTATTTCTTGAGCTACTCTTTCTTCAGAAGGTTGGAGCATGCACTATATATTTTAAAAAATCATGTTTGTTGGCCGATACCTATGTATTTCCTCTTGTTGTTTAAGGGTGTAAGGGTTTACATTATATACAAACACATGGTTGTCCTGTACTTCCCTTAAAGCAGCATTCTATAGTGATCCTATCCTACAGCTTACATGTCATAGCCATAGAGCCTATACAAAATGCAAGCAACACAGACCATAGGAACAATCAAGGGGTATCCTGCTCCCAACTTTGGTGTTTGCTTACTTTTGATTGATTTTGTGCTGCAACCGTTAATCATGACCTGTCGAATTGCAGGTTTGGAGGTCAAATGCTGATTCTCAACATCTCTGATTCTAACTCTAGTTCGTCCGAGTTCGGACAGCGATTGAATCGAATCCCATAGGCCCATAGTCTACCATAGTGATAGTGTCGTTGAATCGTCTACCAGGCTACCAGTAGCTTCTTGTTGCGGCCTCCAACCTACTAGCAATGGCCTCCACCTAGTAGACGTACCATAGTGTTGTTGAATCATTTCGTCATCTTAAAGTTCCACCGATTCCCACTTCCCAATCACTTTGCGGCATCGACTCGCCTTCGGCGGACTCGCCGGACTTTCCCACCGTGCTGCGCAGATCGAACGCCTGCGCGCCGTGCTCTCCGGCGCGGCGGCGCGGCAACTGGAACGCACCTCGCTTGCCAATGGAGCCGCTGGAGCCACGGATGCGAAAGGTGGTTGAAAGGTGGATGGTACTCTTGGAGCCAGTTCGGTGTTTGTGGGGTCAGACTTGAACTCGGACTTACGTAAGTCAGCGGCCTTTTGGATACTTCTTCGAACTAGCGCTCCCCAAGCCCGATCTATGCTCTTTTCTTCGCTTGTGATCCTCAAAGAATTCAAGTTACTTCAAAGGGCAGAAACTACTGTTGACCGCTTTTGTAATAATGATGTCTGGAACCCGCTCCTTCTTGAAAAAAGATGGTAACTAAAAATCATAAAGCGGTGCAGGATGTTCTCCGTGAACCGTCGGGGAGCTTTGGGCCAGCAGATGTTCTTCATGTGTCTTTAACTTGTTCCAGTAGGTAGGGCGAAGAATGCAACAGATGGCGGTGTTCCACATAACATCACATAACCACATAATCGTATCAGAGTTTTGCTGCTGCTTTGCTTGACCTGGAAAGCCAAAAGAGAAAACCATGTCTACAGTCTCTACAGTACAAATCAGTACATCCTCCTGCAAGACATTTCTCTCTAGCTTCCGCCAAGGCCACTGGCGTCGTGGTCAAGAAGGTGAGTTGGACGAAACTCGCTTAGTTGATGCCTTGGCCGGCGAGGCCAATGTCTTCAGGCTGGTTGGGTCGAATTGAGAGCGCAAGTGCAGCAAAAGTGTTGTATAGTCTTGTTTGGGTTTCAAGGGGAGGGCCATTCATATCTCGCCACCTTATACGAGCATTTAGTATAAGTATAAGTCCACCAGACACACCCACAATCGCAGGCGAAGGAAAGAGCGTGAGCCACGCCCTGGCGAGCCGCCGATGCGCCCGAAGCGGGCCCTTTTCCTTTTCGATGCCTCAGCGTGGGGGCGTCAGTTCCGGGGCAGGTGGCCGTATGGATCGGCTGTTGCGAAGGCCGGACGAAGAGGAGGGCCTGGCATAGTATGACAGTATGACCACCAAGAGATCATCGGAGCCTAGGAAACTGTGCCAAAGATGGGTTGCATGTTTTAATTTGCTGCATTTGCTTGAAGGGTTGAAATGGGTTGATCGTGTGCGCGCAAATCCTCAGAGTGACCTTTGGATACCCAACAATTCACCCCCAGTCCGGATACTGTAATTTGATTCAAAAATGGACGTCCCAAGAATCTACAACTACACAAAAGCATCCCCAAAAGATCACACCATTAGGAAGCAAAGATCTATACAATTGAGCTACATCCCGAAGCAAAAGCCAACAATACCATCGACGATCAAATGGATCCGTGCACATGATCCCGGATGGGCGGCTGCGGATTCACATGGATCCGCCACGCTAGTCGAATCGGGTCCTTCGAATCCTCCCAGGTCGATGTACCGCTTCAACGGTGCGGATGGGCGGCTGCGGAGGACCTGTGAGACAGCAGCCCTTGGGCGGCACAGACTCGTGGCAGAAGCGTCCCATCCGAGGCAAAAGTGTTTTGCCGAAATCTGTGGTCGAAGCACATCCAAATAGCCCCCCAAAGTAGGCAGCTATTCCAGCACGCCGAGGAAAAGAGGAACTACTCGAACAAAAGAGCACGACAAAACCAAGTCTTGAAAAGAGGTCCAAACCAAGTTCTTGGGCCAACGAGTCATTCAATGCGTAGGCGTTATCCCCGAATCCCCATCCGCCTACCATGCCTGCCCGCGATTTCGACCTGCATCGATGCGGCCAGAAGAGAAGGGGAAGATCCACACAGTCCCTATTGATGCCGGAGGTTGATGAATCCAGTTTTAAAGGTACTCTGCAGTAGTTGTTGATAGGAAAAACTACTAGAACCTGCATGAGCCTGCATTCATTTTCATCACTCCCTTCCTCGGATGTGGCATCCGTGCAGAAAACTCTCGTTCCGCCTGTCTCAGGTCATGATCATGGAGGCGTTGCAGGGCCACAGACTCAGACCAGCTCCACACGGTGATACGGTGATGGCAAGAAGAAATGTGCAATACATAATACAAGGTCGGCTTTACGTGATCATGATAGAGGACTTGACCACTTAAACAAGGACACGCTGTTTCAATAATGGTGCCGTGTATTGTTTTGCAGCGGAGAATAACCAGAAACCTGGCGATGGAGATGAACGGAGATGATGTGTATCGGAGTGGGTGATTTGAGGCTGCATGTGTGAATGTGATACCAACCACATACTGCGGCACAGTTTGAAGATGAACATCCATTGGTTGGGAGCAAAACCTTGTTTTCTGAAAAAGGCCCAATGTAACATAATTCTGAAGCAACTGCGCAGCAGTTGTTTAGTTCTGCAGGTAGATGGAAGCAGATCTATATAAGAGGTTTTTGCCACGTCCCATGATACCATCACAACAGCCTGCTTGCCCTAGTCATACTTTCAAGGCTTGTCCTTGCCATCGTGGGTAACCCATCCTGATTGAGAAAGTGGTATGAATCAGCATTGTTCAATTTTAACTCCGGCAATGCAGCAGAACTGCTTGACAACATCACTGGGTATCATTCCTGAAATTTGAATGGCTTAGATGGATCAGGAAGCAGAGTTTGAGTAGTAAAGGCTTGGCTTTGTTCAAGCATTGCTTACCTAAACGCCTAAGAGGAGAGCTTTGACTCCTCTCTATACTGAGAATTGAGGCTAGCCTTCAGTACAAGACTGTTTTTACGTTGTTATTCTTCTTTCAATGAGCCTTGGACAGGCTTACTTCGGATCACATGTTGAACCTTTCTTGTCCTCGATGTTTCTTTGATTACCTAAGGCTGGCAAGATGAAAAGACTTATGGACCCTAGAGCTTGTAGGTTTTTGGTCTTGACGCCGCATTAGAACAAGCAAGCCGGTTTGATTCTGCCCTGTGTTTACAGCCATGCAAAGCAGCCAGTTTGTGAACCCCTTGAGCTTTGTGGATTTGGTCAAGATTCAATATGTTTGATTGCAAGTACACTGAATACAACCGACTGTCCTGCGGCAGAGTTGTGGTTCGTAGCAATGATTTGGGGTCCTTGCTCAGAGCTATGTCCCAGCTTTGGTTCCACGAACGAGAACCATGCCCTGAATAACTGCAGATCGGGGCAATCACTTTGGATTCATGCTGAGCTGCAAAGACAAAAGTTGAAACAAAAAACAAACAACAAAGTGATCAGGTCAGTTGTTGAAGTGATCAACTGACCTGGCTGCCTTTGCCAGCTTTGTTTTTGGTTCCACGGCACGGACTCCCAAGGTCTCGAGGCTCGCTTTGACTATGCAGTCTATTGCCATGATGGAGACACACCGTTGCAGGAGCTGGCCGATCTCATTGGATAAATGGCATCACACTTTTGTTACGCCACAGTTCACAGACTATCCATCTAACTTGTATGTCCAATATGGATACGCAACCGAACAACATCCAGGAACAAGTTATTTGATGAAATCAGCTTGCTGAGGAGCTGATCCCTTTTGGCCAGCCTCCCACCGACGAGCGTGGGCGACTGACAGTGGCGTGGAGCCTGTGGCGATTCAAAACAACCAAAACGAGAACCTACAGACCGGCCAGCAATGAACTAAGAAGGCTCACACACATTGCGCATTTCACCCTGGCTCAGGTCTCTAAGCTGGTGGCAAGTGCTCAGTGACCGGAACTACTGGAGAGTCATGGGGTGATGTGCAGCTCAACTCTTCATTGTCGGAATAATCAAAACATACAGTACCAAAACTGTACTGAAAGTCTAGTGGTACTACTGTGGAAGCAAGATGTCCTTCACCACCTTTAGAGCCCAAATGACCAAAGCGTCGCGTAGTATTATATACGCGTAGTATCCAGTAAATCCAGTACATCATGGAAGGTACTGCAGCTCAGGGGACAACACCGTAGAGGCCATTGAGCAGGCCCGCCACAAGGCGCCACTCGGGCACAAAGGGATGGAGTGGGCGCTACGCGCGCTTGGTTGGATCACCGGTTTTGGAGGGGACACCCTCGTTCGCACACAGCCAACCCCGAACATCCCCGAACCTGCGAAGAACCTGCGAATCAATGGTAGTGATGTCTCACCTTCACTCGCTCGATCCCATCGATAGGTCGGCGGACGGTCAGGGTCGAAGGGTTGCAAGAAAAGAACAACTTTGTTCGCAAGGCCGGTCGCTGGTCCAGAAGAGAGACGTGTAGGTAGCAATGAAAGAAGTATGAAAACAAGTATTACCAGTAGTAGCTAGAAGCTACTAGTAACAAGGTACCTTACTACTAGAAGCAAGAAGCTACTACTAGCTCTCCCGGCATTACTACTAGTAGCTACAAGCTACTAGAAACAATGGCATTACAGAGCAATCCCTCCCAGACTAAGTGTCGAAGTTCTTTGGACGCAACACATGAGACGATCAAGACCACCAGATCACAGCTCCTTCTTCACATGCCGTACAGAGCTCCTGTCAACTTGGTTCCTGGTCAAGGAACCAAGCAAAGAAACAAACCGTACAGACAATAGTTGGGACAGCTGAATGAAGCACACTGAATGTTCACAAGAGTTTGGTTCAAAGTTCAAAGGATCCAATACAATATTTGACAAATCCCAATTCTGGGATCTTTCACAGGCTCACAAACCTGCTAGATGGAAGTAGAAATAGTTGCCACAGGCAGTGGTATTTGGAGTGCATATCCCGGACCACGGACACACTGCCTAGCATGGACAATGGATTCGTAGGTGCTATCTGGAGAGTAACCTTTACAAACCTCAAGTCTCAAGTGCTCAAGATTTTCAAAGAACCCCCCAATCCTTTGTCAACCTTAGATTCCAATAACCTTGTGAGTTGGAGGTAGGCCACAAAAATATGTGTTTAAATTATTCTATTTTATGATTTTGTCATGTTTTTGTTACGTTTTCGTTATGATTTGGTTACATTAGAATTTATGATTGTTTGGTGGGATTGTTTTTTGGATATGATTTGGTTATGGTTTTTTCTTATGCCCTTGGAGGTCTCCAATGTCACGTATGCAGTGCCTTTTGCGCAAAATATGGGTGTCGAGCTTGATTTGTGTTCTGTAATGTTTTTGTCTTGAACATTATATCGTCGTGAGTATTTTTCAATAGCAAAAACATAACTATGTTCTGCAGCCAGGTTCGCCCAGCTTCTGGGACCTAGCGGCTAGGATCTGCTGCTAGGCTAGGAAAGTTGAGCTGAGCTGATTGCAGGGGTTCACTTGCAGCAGCAGTTTGGCAATCCCTCATTGAAATCAAATTTGGTTTGTTGAGAAAAATGTCGCGAGGGCAGAAGACTAGAGTGAGTAGAAGACCTTGAGATAGGGCTCTTAGACTCTAGACTCTACGACCTCAAATCTGATACTCCAAACTTGACGGGTGAACCAGCTAGGGTGAACCATATCAAAATCATAACACAAATCATATCGAAATCATAACGAAATCATAAAACTATTTCCCAGGCCAAAGTGTTTTTTGCTTTGGAATTAGTTTTATGATTGTGTTATGCTTTTTATGTTTTGTATGATTTGTGTTATGATTTTGTTATGATTGTCTTATGGCTTCAGACCATCAAGGATTTTGCGTTATGGATTTCTCATGGTTCCCGGGTGCTTCTTGCTTGGAAGGGCCAGCGGTTCGCAGCAACTGCCCTTGCCCTGCAGTCAAAGTAGAGGAGCCTCCAGGGTAGTGACCTGCTGTGCACCTGCTTTTGGTGTGGGCCCATCCCCAGCCAAGCAACAGGGGGCCCCGGTTCAGTGCTACCTGCCGGCTAGCAGCTAGCTATCTGCGGCTGGCTGCTGTTTAAGGCTGCCCCATACCAAACACACACAACTATTGTTTGGAAGTATTCAGAAACCGTACAGAAACATATCGATGGCTTGGATGTGTTCACAAATCATCACGAAAACATACTTGCATTTTTCAGAAGGGCTCAAAACCCATAACAAAAACATAGCTATATTTTTGGAGGTGTTCAAGAATCATTACCAGAACATAAACATTTTCATATGGTTTTCAGGTGGTCCTAAAAAAACAGAATGTAACAAAATCAGAACGAAATCGTAACCAAATCATAAAAGAAAAAGTTTTTGGCCTGAATCTAGAACTCACAACAATAACCTATTGAAACCATCACACATCACCACGTAATCCGTTACTTGATCCATCTTTCTCCCAAGTTCACCCGCTGAAAGAGGCTCGCCCGAACCTCACGGTAGGTGCTGGATGCTGGACCTGCAGACGATCGCTTCGTGTTTGCCTTTTCGGACGCCAACTTCGAACGCTATGGGCTTACGGCCCAGGCAGAGAATGGGTAGATGAGATGATGAGGAGTGGGGTAGTAGGGAGACAGGGAGAGTTCGTGCTCAAGAGGCTTAGTTTGGCAAACATTTGTGAAGAGAAGTCTTCAATAGATCTGACCGTGTTTCCAAATCATGGCTTTCCTGACTGTGCCCCCATCTATTTGCTTCAGCGCAGATCGCACTTCAGCCATCTTCAATCCATTTGCTACCTTTTCCTCCCACAGTGATCAGTGGGCAAAAAGCGGCTGGAGGAAGAAATGTCTATGTAGAAACCTAGAGAGAGAAAGAGAGAGAGAGAGAGAGAAAGAAGAAAAAGACGAAACACACACGTGTTTTGCTGACTTATTTGCTACAGAATATGAATCTGAATGAATGAACGCACCCCAAGCTGAGAGACACACTTTAAGACTTTGAAGCTCCAGTAACTCCAGTAGTCATCCTTTCTGAGCAACCCAAGAAGTCTTCACATCTTCAGAATTGGATCGACCGCATCGGTTGACATGTCGTTCGTTGAAAATCTGGTCGGAACGTGCCAGGCGCTGTCAAAGGCTTTGGGAGAGACCAATGGACGTGATGAGGCGAAGAACGGGTGTGACGTAGAACGAAGGGACTGAGCAAGGGAGGTGTATTGGTCAAGGCGCGGATGCCTCGCGCTGTTCTTCCAAATCAAGCCTGTTCACGCAACGTAGAATAGAACTCTTCCTTGGTGTTGTGGACTTTGATGATTGTAGCAGGCTTTCAATTAGCTTGTCCTAGTTACTAGTTAAAAGCAACTGGTCCTCAGTATGGACTTCCGTTGGTATACTTCAGGGCCGGTGTGTGAAGGCAAATTGGCCGGGCCTTTTCGTCACCTCATCACCTCAAGCTTTCCTTGAAATCCATTCTATGTTGCTTCTGCTGGCGGATGCTGGCGTCGAACGAGGCACTTCTTAAGTAAGGATAATGAGGATTTGTTTCTTTGCATGGTAGTATTGTCTGGTCAAAATTGGTGCAGCGCAATCTGAAGGAGGTATAGCGAGTCCCTTTGAAAGAGTTCAATGGTTGCCCTGATGAAAGCAGTTCGGGCGTATGGTTTGATATGGTGTGACGGTCCATAGGCTTCCGGATGAAATAGGTGTTAAAAGATAGATGAGAAATTAGAAAAGGAAAGTAAGGCCCCCCTTCGCCCCCAGTAGAATCCTTTCAAGGGGCATTATCTTCCTTTATTCATTTATTTGTTTTTGCATTGTTCTCTTCAAATCAATGGTGAAGACTGTCTGACAGAGACTCCCCATCAAGGTGGGACGCCTTCCAGTGGGAGCCGAGGGGTTCGAGTGCACGTCGTTCTGCCCACCGCATTCGGGAATTCCGTGGGGAGGCGTCTCCACGCTGTGACGGGTGTGAGGTTCGTTCCATCCTGTTCCTTCTGGCCACCTTCGAAGACGAAGCCTTGTTGATGGCAAAGTCCTTGCCAGACCAGGCCGAATCGACGACACTCGGAAGGGATGAACATTTTGCGAGCGGTTCTTGATTGTTTGATCGGGTGCTGAGGCAATCGGTGGTGACAGATACACCAAACCATTGGTAAGGCCAAGACAACCTTCTTTGTGAGAACATGCTGGCTGAAGGACTCGAGGACCATGGTGCAAGCTAATGTGGCTCAGATCAGGGAACTTCTGAAATGACCCGGCAAGCTTCCTTCCTCTACCAAATTCAAATTCCCCAGCTTTGTATCCACATAGTCTTCATCATTGAATATCTGTATTTGGAGCGATCATGTGTCATCATCGCTTATGTTTCATCATATGTGGAACCCGAAGCCTCGGACAGGTGCGCCTTTGCTTGGACCCACGGACCCTACCTTCGGAGCTTCGGCAGGCGTTTCGGGATGCCCGCCAGCCTGGGTAGGCCTTCACCATCATGCATCCTGTAAAGAACTGTTGTTAATAGACTTCCTTTAGGGAAGTGTTTGGTGCAAACTTTTGTGAATTCTGTTCTTTTTGCAAACTTTACATGACAAGGCTTTTCCACAGCATTGATGTGGGTGGGTCTATATGGTTCGACTGCAGCTTTGCCGGTATGCTTTTTCTTAGCTTGGATTTGGATCACAAATTTGGGCGCACACGAGAAAACATGAACTACGCGGCATGAAGACATGGAAAGCTAACCCACAGATGTGGTGTTTGTTTGGGGATTGTCATTTTCACTTTTCAGACTTAGAAGGTGCATCCAACGTTTGGAGCCATCCGCACGCAGAGATGTGGCTCCAAACGTTATCTTTATCTTCCAATGAATCTTTATGCTTCGGTTCCTTCAAGACGAGCATTTTTCCCGGTGAAATGTTGGCACTCGTTTTTGCTCACCCGCCATTCCAACGTAGCAAACCTGTTGTGAGCCCGTTAAAATTTGGAGCGGTCCAACGTAGCAGACCTTTTGTTGCTGGCCACCCAAAAGCAAAATTTAGAGGAGGAAGGCGCCATTCAAGGTAGCATACCTTTTGTCAGCCACTCGAGGGTAGAATATAGAGGAGGATGGTGCATTCCAACGAGGAATATGCAATTCCAAGCTAACAGACCTTTTGCAAGCAACCAGATTGTAAAATTTAGAGCTGGAAGGGGCCATTCCAATGTAGCAACCTGCCTGTGTGCACGAGTGAGTCGCTGCGTGCGCGAGTGAGTCATGCGCGCGCAAGTGAGTTAACTTTGGCGCTCGCAAGTGAGGTTTGGGACATCACCTCTTCGTTCTTATATAAATTCGCGTTTGCGTTTGCAAGTGGGGTGATTTTTGAGCGCGCAAGAGTGGGGTGCCAGCTGGGACCCCATCACTCAATGTATCCAGATTGCATCAGGTTCTTTTGCATTGGCTGAGATTTGCACGCACTGTGCTTTAGACATCGTTAGAGATGGTATGAACTATGGTCTTTAGATGCTTGGCCAAGATGTACCATGCTTGAACGGCACACGCGCGTTTTGCTTGAAAGGCTTCATGCTTCGGGCATCTCCATACCTAAGCTAGACTTCTTCTAGCACAGGTAGCAGCAACTGGCTACAAGAAAACCGTCCTCATGTTGCAGCGGCCATGTCTTTAGGCAAGAGAGCATCACAGGTTTTCGCGTATATTGGCTGACGCGCTGGGAAACCCATCCTGTTTCCCAACATGATCCTGAAGATTGCATTGTATTTGATTGAAAATGAGCTCTACTCTAGGCCCAGTATTTGCAGGCATAAGAGGAACTGCTTTCCAGCACAGCATTGTCCAAGAAGCACAGTCGAAAGGAATCTTAAATATGTCCTTTGCTCCAGCGCCGCACCTGAGAGCTAGAAAGACTATTGAATTCATTTTATTTAGCAAGCATACTTCACCAGCAAAGCAGCGACATGAAAGCAGCGTTGCCCTGATCACACCGTTGAACTCCTTGCACAGCCACACTCGGGCGCTGGAACTTCGACATACACATGAGTGGTCTGCGAGGGCCCATGTATCCCTTTTGCGTACTGTAATAGGATTAATCCCAGAAACCGCTCGCTTGCCTGATGCAAATTTTTGCTGGATGCCACCATGCCGGCACACAACTTTGGTTCGGCCAGGAGTTTGCCAGCCGTGTGAGCCGCAGAAGTGCGCTGTAAGAAAGGCCCTGTGCTGCTGTGCTCAAACTTGTTTGTCGAAAGATTGCACGGATACTTTTATATATACACTTAAAAGCGCTTCTATTTAAGGAGCTTACGCCCAGCAGCGGTTTAGTGTCAGGCGGCAGGGGCAAACAGGTGAGTGTTAGTGTTAGTGTTAGTGTTAGTGTTAGTGTTGTTAGTAGTGTTAGTGTTGTTAGTAGTGTTAGTG